TAGTTATTGGACTATTCGGTCGAACTGTAGAGCACATGAGAGATAACCCGACGTTCTAGAGTTCAGGTTCAAAACTACATGTGACCAGCTTACAATTACATGTTCAGTTTGTATCTGCCTAATCTCGCGATTTACTGTTTAGGCGTTTTACTCTTCTTACTCATGACCTTTATATTTTTACTCTCATTTCTACACCCAGGTCAACGGTGCAGCGTTTGTTGTAACAAACTGGACAGGTGAAGACAGTCTAGTCTTTCAAACAGCTACTGTAACTTTATCAGGTTCAAATCGCACCTCGATTATCAATACAAAATGTCCTTTTGGTGGTTTTTTAACAGTAAAGACAAAAAGCTGCTTGAATGCTATTCCTCTGGGATACGTATACTCAGTAAGTGTAGAATTATTTTAAAATTGCCTATAAGTAAAAAAAATTTGAGCGAATTAAAATCATTGTAAGCTAAGCATATATAATAATTGAGAGATTATCGAATAAATTGTTATTTTTGTTTTTGTTTGAAACAATTTTAGATAGATCAAACGACATCAGAGCCTAACACCACGGTGATTTATTCTTCATCCAAATCTATTTCACCCTCATCGACAGCCATAGGGAGTAGCTATGTCTCTATACACAACGACAACCAACAATCCACAACATCGGGATACCACAGTGATCTAAGCTCCAATCTCAAAGTTCTACCTAGTCAACTTAAATCAGCTGTACTTGTAGATCAGCTTCAATCTACTTCTGAAAATTTAAATTATATATCACCAAAAGCCACACCAACAATCAAAATCAGCCCCATACGACTATTTTTCATGCCCATCCCACGTGTAACAATGAACTCTGTTACAGTATTCACCAATGGACAAAAGACATCAAGCATGGAACTATTCTCTAGCCAGTTTAACGTTACTGGGTTGTCCTATCCAACTGAGATCATCAAGTCTACACAGATTCCACCAACTCAAAACACGATGCTGTCCACATATATTAAACAAACAACCCGCAGCACAATCCTTGTACATCTTACAACAACTAGCAATACAGCAACAGGGTATCTACAATCTACTGCAGCTATCAAGACGTCAGGAAGCAACGTACAGCCTACAGTAACTACCCAGAAGTCAAACATCTATGAACAACCTGCAACAACTAGCAGGACGTCAGAAAGCAACATACAGCCTACAACAACAAGCAAGACTTCAGAAAGCAACATACAGCCTACAACAACAAGCAAGACTTCAGAAAGCAACATACAGCCTACAACAACAAGCAAGACTTCAGAAAGCAATATACAGCCTACAACAACAAGCAAGACTTCAGAAAGCAACATACAGCCTACAACAACAAGCAAGACTTCAGAAAGCAACATACAGCCTACAACAACAAGCAAGACTTCAGAAAGCAACATACAGCCTACAACAACAAGCAAGACTTCAGAAAGCAACATACAGCCTACATCAACTAGCAAGACGTCAGAAAGTAACATACAGCCTACAACAACAAGCAAGACTTCAGAAAGCAACATACAACCTACATCAACTAGCAAGACGTCAGAAAGTAACATACAACCTACATCAACTAGCAGGACGTCAGAAAGTAACATACAGCCTACAGCAACTAGCAAGACGTCAGAAAGTAACATACAGCATACAACAACAAGCAAGACTTCAGAAAGCAACATACAACCTACATCAACTAGCAAGACGTCAGAAAGTAACATACAACCTACATCAACTAGCAAGACGTCAGAAAGTAACATACAGCCTACAGCAACTAGCAAGACGTCAGAAAGTAACATACAGCATACAACAACAAGCAAGACTTCAGAAAGCAACATACAACCTACATCAACTACTAAGACGCTAGAAAGTTATGCACAGCCTACAGCAACTAGCAAGACGTCAGAAAGCAACATACAGCATACAACAAGTACCCAGACAGCAGACATCTATCAACAACCTACAGCAACGACTAAGACACCAACAGAAGACAACGCAGCGTTGAAGCTGTGCCCGTGTGCTTGTTCCGCACAAAAAATCAACACAAATATCCCAATAACCCAAGAAACAAAAGAAAAGCTCGCGCAAGAAATTACAAAGCGTCTAACTGTTGCTAAGACCAATCTCTCAGCGACCTATCAAAGGAAAAATTCCCTGGAGAATCTGACACCCACATCTCAAACTCTTGGAGAGGTCATCATTGTCACGTGTCTGGGTCTCGTGTGTTTCCTGCTCATCCTAAATGATCTTTGTACGATCTTTCGTTATTTGAGTTTTAAGTGTGTTTCCTGCTCGTCCTAAATGATCTTTGTACGATCTTTCGTTATTTGAGTTGTAAGTGTGCTTCCTGCTCGTCCTAAATGATCTTTGTACAATCTTTCGTTATTTGAGTTTAAATAATAAGGCACGAATGTTTGGTAGGCGTTGATTATTCAACACCTTTATTGAAAAAACGAATTTTTAAAATTAGATTACAATATCTCAAAAAATTTAAAATAAGGATCAGTCTTATTATTTATGAACTTTGATTTTTAAATTTTAATTTCTTTAAGATATAAATTTTATCTTATTTTCTCTTCGTTAGGTAAATGAAAACAACTAGAATGCTACGATTAAATATTTTTTTTAACCACTTAACCTTCCAATAATTCTTCTTCATAACCAAATCTTAAATGGTATTGATCACAATTTTATGCATCTAGTTCTAAGAGAAATCCGATCAATCCATGCATTGATAATAATAAATCAATAAATTGAATTAAATAATTTGCAGATACACGAATTGATTCTGTAGCAACGATGAAATAACACATAAGATACACACGAAAACTGTAAATAGTGTTGGATGTCAATTGTTAAAATAATGTTTTTTTTTTCATTTTGTTTCATACATAATTGGTATTAATTGTGAAATTAATTGCCATAAGGTCACAAACGACATTGATTGGAGGGACTATGCACAACTTTAATTTTCATTTATTTTTAAAAATTATTTAGTTAAAAGTCAACGTGACATTCATATAGTTATACTTTTTAAATTTGAATATATTTTCACTTGAAATATATCTATAACTGACAATGCTTTCTTATTAACTATTTGCTGTACACGTTTTTTCTTGAATGGCTGTAAAGAAATGTAAACTCCAGTTTTATTATTACATGTTGGTAGAATTCATGAGGAAAATGGCGTGTAAAGATAACAATAAATGACACACTTGTCGGTTTACATTGACTGAATTTGCTGTTTAACAGAATCTTTACTTCATTCTGTTAATGGTTGTTGAATGTACTGTAAAAATAGGTACATTTTAAATTGAAGTCATGACAGCTTTCTAGCACAAAGTTCAACAGTGCTTAGACTCCTTATCGCAGGTCACAAGACAATCCAGGATTGTCATACACAGGGGGGAGAGGAGTCTGGATCGTGGTGGATAGACAAGAGCCAGTATTCGGCAGTTTAGGATGTTGAAATGTTTCATGATCCACCTTGATTTGGGAACATTGTTCGATGAGTTTGTGCCCTTAAAGAAAATCAAAAGAGTGTGGGCAAAGCGTAGAGGAGAGATTGAGAGGGAATTATTTTTTTAAATCTTGACTCAAATTATTTCAATCTATGTAATTATATATGAATTGACTCTGTTTTCATATTACTTTATGTAAAGGTACAAATGTAGTGAAATTACAAAAGTAGTACGCAATTTTATTATAGCAAACTTGTATTTATTCACTAAAGAAGAATATACAATTTTTTTTTAATATATACACATTTTATACAGCTTTAAAACAAGCGTGGCACACTATACTTTGTACGGAATCTCCTTATTAAAATTGTTATTCTTATTTCAAGCAGGTTTCGCATTAATTTTCTAATTTAAACTGCGAAATTGTGTCATACTAAAGTACATTGGTATTTAGCATTTTGCTAGTTAAATTAAGCTGAATGAATATTAAAGAAACATAATTTAACAACTAAGCTAGTTATAAGATCTGTATCAAAACACAAAGATGCGAGGTTTCATTTTCACATTAAAAATGTTTTTATATATTTACAGCTCAATTTTCTTGCTACATTGTTTTGTTTTGATGATCCTCCCTAGTCTAGTCTCCGCTTTTGATCACATCAGTAGAAATAAAAATATTTAACGCGACATAGTCCATCCGTTTAAAATAACATAACAATTACAGCAAGATTAAACCTATATGTAACAATAGTATAGGATAATAAATATGTAACCTATTGCAACTGATAAAGAAATTACAAATGTTTGATGGCATCTTCTCAGTGGAAACTAACGCTACCAGCAGATATTAAAAAGTAAAAAATGTAAAGTTTTCCTTTTAAACCTGACGGTCTATGGGGCAATTGAAGTAGAGTTCACTTGTTTCTGTGACCTCGGCATATGAAGAGATAGTGTGGTCAGCACTATGCCCAGCCGCCTTTACTTTCCCTAACGTGAGTTAGGTACCCATCAGAGTTGGGTGGACTCAGGGACGGTCTACTAACCCGGATTCGAACTCGTGACTAACGGGTTAGCAGGCTAGCTCTCTACCGCTAGACCACTCCGTCCCACTAGCAGATATTGATGCCCTCTACACGTGTTAACTTCTCACTTGTAGTACCTCTTTTAAAGCTATCCAGTATCTTCAACTCAGAGAGTATGAGGTGCATTTTATACTTTGTGTACTCTAATTGTTTTAGGAAAAATATCAAGTATCCCATTTACTAGCGTCCATTTCAATTTCGTCATAGGTCATTGCGTCGTCGTGATTGTAATCTTTGTATACGTTGTGAAGTTGATCGTCCGTATCTATGAAGTATTTAGCCAGGGCATTAAACCAGAGATTGAAACTATCCGATCCTGTCGAGTCACTTGTATCAAATCACTATTGTTGATAACTCCATGCTATAATGTATGAACGACATCATCCTATACTCGCTTCGTACCACTCTATCCTCGTGTTACTATAATATAAAGATGAGTTCTCAATTTCAACTAACATTCAAATTCTGTCAGAGTGCATTCTAGATCAATGACGACCATACCACCTTCTGATTTCCATTCGCACCTGCACAATGAAAAGGTAATATCAGACTTTAAATACAAACACAAACATATATATATATATATATATATATATATATATATATATATATATATATATATATATATATATATATATATATATATATATATATATCAGGGGCGTAGCGAGGGGGGGGGGCGGGGGGTGCGGACCGCACCGGGTGACACCATTTTGGGGGGTGACACCAAGGCAAAAAATAGCAAAATATATAGAGAAAAACTCGAGGGGGGGGTGCAAATCGAAAGTTTGAGGGGGTGGGGTGCAAATCGAAAACTTGAGGGGGGGGGTGCAAATCTAAAGTTTGAGAGGGGGGGGTGTGCAAATCGAAAATTTGAGGGGGGGGGGGGTGCAAATCAAAAATTTGAAAGTTTGTCCCTGGGAAGTGTCTCTATGCCTCTGGGGGGGGTGACACCATTAAGTTCCGCACCGGGTGACACCCGACCTCGCTACGCCACTGATATATATATATATATATATATATATATATATATATATATATATATATATATATATATATATATATATATATATATATATATATATATATATATATATATATATGCAACGAGACTATTTGCCTGTAGTGCCAAATGTTAACGAGTTCTGCTCGACAACGCCAAATGTTACCGAGTCTAACCACTCATTCCACACAACATCGACCACAGTATAGACACTCGAAGATGCAGGTTCGCTATTGATCCTTCCACTACATGAATCAAAGAAATGCTTCACAACAATATAATAAATCAACAGGAATGCTTCACAATAATAGTCTGAATCAACTGACCCCCAACAGTCCTCACTAGTCTTCACATAACTGAATGCACATGTCTATCGTCCTTCTTAACACAATACGGCTAACCCGTTCAATAACCAACTTGATACTGCCTCACTCACTGACTGATCGAGAGAGAGAGAGCGAGCTCAGCCGTCGCCTTCCTATATATCCCCTTCGTATTCGTAATCGTATTCGGTTCTATCATAATCGTAATCGTAATCGATTCTAATCGTTGCATCAGAATGTTAATTACGCCGCTTCTGTCGTACAGTCCGATTTAATAAGCCATCTGCATCCTGTCACATCAAAGTTGACAGACCGTATTGCGTTCTTATCGTATCGCTTCCCAAGATACTACGCCTTGGCTTTCTGATCGTTATCAGCCAACACCTGCGTTATTGCATCAGTCGTGTCAAAGTTGACAGCGCTGTACTGCGTTCTTATGTCTCTGGTAACTTCCCCTAGTTACATCCACCCCTGCCTTTTTTTGTGTGTTATCAACCACAAACAACGCTTGGCAGGTGCAGTCCTTCAAAGTCAATCGCACCACCGTAAAAAAAATGTATTGTTCCACTCACTGTCAATGTCGTCACATTCGTATAAGATTGACAGTTATCCCTATTTCACATATCAAATGTGTCTACATCATCTTCCTCAGACACAAAACAGTTCTAGAATTCACATCCACCTTTTTTCGTTTGGTGCCTTCACCAGTTCACTTTTATGACTTTTTGAACAGTCTGTTCTCATACCAGCGCGACCATGAAAGAATTGATGGTTGCTGACAAAAAATTTCGTATTCTTTCTGTTTCTCAAACTTCTCCGCGGACCACTTATCTGATGGTCTACTGTCTCTCTGTTTCTGGGAGGAACGGGATCCTCTTCGTTGCCGTTATCCTCCACTTGTGTATCGCTGTTGTTCTGTTGATGGTGACATGGTTCCGGGATGGGTATGTGAATTTCCGTTATAGTTTCCGGTTCCCTAATTGTCTTGGGTTTCCTTGTGTGTAACTGCTCTTCTTGACTATGACAATATTTCTTTAATTGAGCAATATTCGCCCACCGATCCGGTTTGGCGTGATCGATGGGTCTTATCTTAAAGGGGCCACCTGCTACTTTAGGCATCTCCACGACTTGCCATATCTCCTGTCCCCAGAGGTCGTGGATTTTGTTTCTGCCTAACGGGTGGCTACGCAGCAATACCCTGTCGTTCAGTTTGAGTGGCGGGTCCTTTGTCTGTACCGGCGGTTCCCTTCGCCGTGCTTCATGTTCTAGTCTTTCCTGTACTACCCTGTACATTTCTCTAATTCGTCTCATATGTTCATTCACATATTCCAGTGCAGTGTATGAGCCAGTCATACTCTCCTTTTTTCCTAGGAACAAGTCAAGAGGGAGTCGAGCCTCCCGTCCGAACAGCAACATGTGTGGCGAAAAGCCGGTTGTGGCATGGGGGGTGCAGTTGTATAGATATACCAACTCTGGGAGAAAATCAGGCCAACGTTTTTTCTGTTCAGGTTCTAGAGTACGCAGCAAATCATGCATGCTGCGGTTGAACCGCTCGCACTGTCCGTTTCCTTTCGGATTAAATGTGGTTGTTCTAGATTTGTTGATCCCGTAGTAGCTGCACAGTTGGTTAATTACTTCTGACTCGAAGGCCCTTCCTTGGTCAGAGTGTAATTGTATTGGTATGCCATATTTGGTGAACCATTGTTCTATTAAGACCTTTGCCACTGTTTTGGCAGTCTGATCTCGTGTGGGCACCGCCACAGTCCATTTGGTGAATACATCAGTCATTACCAACACATGTTCCGTCCCATCCGATGATTGCTCCAACGACGTAAAGTCCATAGCCACAATCTCTAGTGGTTTTGTCGCTAGTAGGTGTCCTGATGGCTGTCTCATTTTGACAACTGGCCTTTTCGCATGCTGACACCTCACACAAGCCTCACAATGGCGTTTGACCTCCATTTCCATATTGGGCCAGTAACACCTCCGTCGTAATATTTTGTGCGTCCTGTCCTGACCCTGGTGTCCTGCCCTGTCATGTGCCAACCCTAGCACTTCTTCTCGTAATTGTCCAGGCACCACCACCTGGTGTATTGTCCCATCAATTTGGTCATGAATTCTCCGCATGAGAACACCATCCTTTATACTGAGACGGTCCCACTGACTCAGTATTTTCTTTGTTTCTCGACCAAATTGTTCTCTTTCCCTTCTTCTTGGGAATTTTTGTTCCTGGACGTATTTCAATAGCGGCTGTAACCCGCTATCCGTTCTCTGGGCATCTCTTATCTCTTTGTGATTAAGGCAATTAAAATCACTAATGTCCATATGTCCGGGCTCTGTGGATATGTGCTCCACCCCGGTCTGTCCGTTTTGCATCACTTGCACCCCGTGAGGGATATCTGTTGACGCTCTGACCTCACATATTCCTGTCAGCGTTTCTTCCTCATCGCCCGGTCTCTCGTACGGATTCCTTGATAAAGCGTCCGCATTGCCATTGGACCGCCCCGGGCGATATTTTATCTCCAGGTCAAAGAGTGCCAATTCTGCTGCCCATCGCTGTTCGATGGATCCCAACTTTGCTGTCTTTAGGTGACTCAAGGGGTTATTGTCAGTGTATACCACACATTTAGCACCTAATAGATAGTCCCTGAATTTTTCAGTCACAGCCCATTTTAATGTCAAAAGTTCTAGTTTCATGGCGCTGTAATTTGTCATGTTCTTCTCTGATTCCTTCAAAGCTCGACTGGCATACGCAATAACCCTGAAACCTTGCTCCTGTTGTTGTGATAGCACAGCTCCCAGACCTTTAGAGCTGGCGTCAATTTCTAGCCGAAATGGTTTGTCAAAGTCTGCGTATCCTAATATAGGCGCCTCTGTCAAAGCATTTTTCAGTAGCTTAAACGAGTTCAGGCATTCCTCAGTCCATAATTCACCTATCAGTTGTGTTTTACCTTTCTTTTTCTCCTTACTGTGTTTCTTTGTCATTTTGTTTCTTAAGTCATGCAACGGTGCGGCAATTTTTGCAAAACCAGGTACAAAGTTTCTATTTTCTTCTTCAGATAACAGACACTCTACATATGAACATTTCTCCTGTGCTTTTAATTTGCATGAACTTTCCCTATCCAGTTTCATGGTTAACCTTGAGATCTCATTATTAAGTCTACCAATTTCTTCCTTATCATCATTTTTCTTAGCCAACAAATTGTTCACTTGAAACTTTTTAACATTCAAGTTCATTTCACAGTTCATTTTTTCAATATCTGATAATTTCTCTTCGAGTCTTGTTGGAGACTCTTTCATTGTTTGTCCAATTTTGTTTCTTACGCCATAACCTCGCCGCTCTGTAGCCTTGACCTGCCTTACAGAGGGCGATCGTTTCACCGGACAGTACCGTGCCACATGTCCGGGTTGAGAGCAGGACAGGCCGATTGGTCGACCGTCAGCCGTCCACCGGAGCGATGGACCAGCAGGTCGCGGCTGTCCAACCTGTCTCTGTTTTGTCCCGTTTTTGCCCTGATTCTCAGCTGTTGACCTGCTTTCTAACCTCTCCAATCGTTGGTCAACCTTATCCAGGTGGGCCAACAGTTGAGCCATCATGGTTTCCATCGTGCCGGTCCCTGTGGGTGGGGATTGTTTCTGTTCCGGCACAGAGACTTTGTCTACCGAACAGTTCGATTGGTCCTCATCCTCGGACCTGCGGATCGCTGAGTTCCTGACCTGAAGGAAGGTCAACTGTGGGTCTTTGTAGACCTCTTCTTTCAAATATCTTCTCGACATAGGGGTCGCCAGCCCCTCGATGAAATGGTCCCTCAGCAGGCGTGCATCCATGTCGGGTATTTTGCCCTTTACCGAATCAAAGGCCCTGTTCATTCGGTGTGAATACTCCATCACACTCTCCGCCATTCTCTGCTTTATACCTACAAACACCGATAGCAGTTGCGATCCCGACCGTCTCTCCCCAAAGGTCTCCATAATTAGATCCAGCACCTTATCTGGATCTGATTGGATGGTTTTATCGTGGCATATTTGACCTCTGCCCTAACCGTCTCTCCTATACTGCCCATCAGCAGTCTTAATCTTTCCTCTGGTGACATGTATCTCGAGGCCCAGGCAGCCCTGACCTCTTCACTGAACCTGTTGGTTAAGGTTGGATCACCGTCCCCGTAAAATTTGTTGATGTGGGACTCACTGGGCAGGACCACAATATGGATCGGCTTTTTGTCCAAATTTTGTCCTGGTCCATCTGGAGGCAAAGGGTCATCTTCACCGTTGCCTATCTCTGGGCTATCTTTATCTGACTCAGATTGTTGGGCCAGCAGGAGTTTCTGTCCCTTTCCGATATCTAAAATACCACTCCCGCGTCTGCCACTCACACCAAGGAAAAATGTTGCAGCTATGCAGCAGATAGTGTTGCCCAAAAGGGAGATCATGACACATTTCCAGTGTCCAAGAGTTACATCCATATCTTGGTTGCCATCTTTGCCCAGTATTTGTCCAACAACCCAGTTGGAGATACCAATGCCAATTATCTGGATGCTGGTGGTCAGCCCCATAGCTGTCCCCAGGGTGGCTGGTGCTACAACTAGGGCCTACAACTAGCAGCAAAAGAGCATGTGACACCAAGCCAGAATGATAATGAAAGGTGTCTCATCTCTGTTCTTTTCAATTTCCTCGATTCTGATTTCAGTTTTCCCTTTTATTTATTTCCTTCAAATAAAAAAAGACCTTTCTTACCGTGTGTGTATGAAAAATTTTCCTCGTTCCTCAATTTTCACTGTTCCTGAATGTCCGAATTCACACACACACTAAACACAGTTATGAACTAGGTTGACTATGGGTGCCTAAAACGGCAAGTCTAGTTGAATTCATCCTGTCCGCAGCGCCAAATGCAACGAGACTATTTGCCTGTAGTGCCAAATGTTAACGAGTTCTGCTCGACAACGCCAAATGTTACCGAGTCTAACCACTCATTCCACACAACATCGACCACAGTATAGACACTCAAAGATGCAGGTTCGCTATTGATCCTTCCACTACATGAATCAAAGAAATGCTTCACAACAATATAATAAATCAACAGGAATGCTTCACAATAATAGTCTGAATCAACTGACCCCCAACAGTCCTCACTAGTCTTCACATAACTGAATGCACATGTCTATCGTCCTTCTTAACACAATACGGCTAACCCGTTCAATAACCAACTTGATACTGCCTCACTCACTGACTGATCGAGAGAGAGAGAGCGAGCTCAGCCGTCGCCTTCCTATATATCCCCTTCGTATTCGTAATCGTATTCGGTTCTATCATAATCGTAATCGTAATCGATTCTAATCGTTGCATCAGAATGTTAATTACGCCGCTTCTGTCGTACAGTCCGATTTAATAAGCCATCTGCATCCTGTCACATCAAAGTTGACAGACCGTATTGCGTTCTTATCGTATCGCTTCCCAAGATACTACGCCTTGGCTTTCTGATCGTTATCAGCCAACACCTGCGTTATTGCATCAGTCGTGTCAAAGTTGACAGCGCTGTACTGCGTTCTTATGTCTCTGGTAACTTCCCCTAGTTACATATATATATATATATATATTATAGACATATTAGAATTTCTATTATTGCTTTTTGTCGCGTCGTGTAATTACTGTTGACGATTTCAACCCCCCCCCCCTTTCCCCTTTCCTTTGCCGCTTGAAGAGAGGTGGTAAACGGCCATCAATTTATTTCCCTAATGTGATCCAATCGTTTCTCCCATTCTCCCTCGCCTCTCCTTATAATACACCTGTGTATGAAATCCCACAAACTCTGGACAAAGATCTAATTTGTAAAATTGGATCCGCCTCTATAGGTCTGTTTGAATGTCATTATAAGAAAACAGACATGACTAGTTGACTTTTACACCAAGAGAAAGCTTTTAGTTTCGCCAATTTGTCCCATGCTTGATTTATGCTGGGTTGCTTGTAAAGATTTTTTAGTGCTTCTTGTATGATCAGATGTCTCCGAAGTCCATAAAAGAGTGGACCTCCTCTAATCTCTGACATGTTACCACTGTTGGCCAACCTCTCATATTACCAATAAAAAAAATGTCAATTTTACTGACTTGTACTTGTGTTGATCCAAATATTCTTCAACTGCTGGCTTGATCTTAGGGATGCCATCTTTACTATGTAGCCCCCTGCCAGTTACAACAGAGATGAATCTGTTCTCGTGTGAGCTATTTTTATCTATATATTCTAAAAAGATAGGACACACTATAATTATTTCTTAGTGTACGGTAATTATATAAAAAACAACATAAAAAATCACTTACAATCAATAGGCCGAGTAGCTCAATTAAAGTTAGTTTAGGTAAGTGCTGTCAACTAGCCTAAATGCTCATGTCCACTAGAGACAATGATGTGTACTCAGTATTTCTTAATAAATCAAGTATCACTCGTATTTAAATCTTTGAGCTCACCTTGCTTTTTTTGTTGTATAAATTCAGACATGACATGTATCGCTTCGTCTACAGGTAGTCTGTGCAAATCTTTTAGTTTATTGTTCGATCTGTTTCTGATGAAATCAAAATTAATTGAAATTCGTAAAATGTCAATTGCTTGCACGTAAAATTAGAATATGCTAAACATAGGACTATCACTTAAGTAATTATATTAATGGTTGCTTTTGTTTCAAATATAATAACTCTCAAGGAAGATACCCCGTAATTATACAATAAATATATTGTTGGCAGTTGCTTAACTCATTTATATTAACAACCTACTTTGAGCGTGATCTTGACCTGGATTTTCTAGAGATTCTTATCTGTTGTTGTTGTTGTTGTTGTTGTGGTTGTTGTTGTTTCTGTTGTTGTTGTTGATTCTGTTGCTGCTGCCGTTGTTGCCTTCCACGACGACTGCGATCAACAACCTCGTTCTCAATAAGAACACTAGACACATTTTCCTACAGAAATTCACATTTCTCTCTTAATTTGTGTGAGCCAAACGGCACGTGTGGGCAAGGGATGGGGAGGGGTGGAGTGGGGCCCTCAAGCAGAACGTTAACCTAGTTATTTGGGCAGAACACGTATAAATAGTATAAAAGATGTGTCTTCAACTTCATTCGTCCGATATGAAATAGCACAGCCTTGTCTTTAAAAAGCAAAAAAAAAAAAAAAAAATACTTCAACACAAATGTAACGGTAGTCAAGTTCTGTCTTTCGGGCACGTGGGGGACAACAATGTCAAGTAACCGGCTACGGTCCTTCACAAACAGATAGGCCACCTAAGTCACGTCTCAAAGATAAAAAGAATAGACTCAATTCTAATGAAAACCTGTAGCAAATCTCAAAACAGCCGATAGACTAATGTGGATTTGTCGATAAGGCCTTGAAAAGAAAGAATGCAAACATCGCAGGGGAAGCGTTGGACTGGAACCCCCCAAAGAAAAAAAAATCACGGATGACAGAAAGATGGAAGGAGAAACAATGGCTGCTAGGCTTACATGGGCTAAACTAAAGAGAGTTCTCCAAAACAATGAGGTGGAGAGGTGTAGTTAGAGCTCTTTGTTTCTTAAGAGCTTTACTGTATAGTGTTCAAATGATAAACTTTACTGTTGCATACAACTTTAAGTGAATAATAATAATATAATTAACTTACAAGTGAGAGGGGCTGGAAAGATACAACACGGAAACTGTATTTATTAACTGCTGGTTGAATCTGTAAAAAGTGTTTTGCTTTAAATAACTATAAAATATAACATAAATTATATTTAATAATTTTATAAAGTATAATACCGTTAGCTAATTTCAAAGCTATGAATAAAGCTATAATAATATTTAAATTTAAAATGATAGATCTATATATATAATTCTCCTCTTCGAGCCGTTAGAAAACAAGCTGCAAACGCTCTCCCTACCTCCCCACCCCTACATGGTTTTAGTGAGCTGTGTTCACTCTAAATGTTTACAAGCAGAGCCAACGATTTTAAACGTAGGGGGGGGGGGGGGGGGGAAGGAAGGGGGGGGGGGGGGGGTTATGGTCCTTAACGAGCTACTTATAGTGTTTTAAAGAAATATTTTCAGTGTCAGCGTTGGTACTGTCGAATTCACAAATTATGAATTATTGAAAATTAGAAACAACTAAATAGCGGCGTATGTTATGCCGCGGGCCGGCTCGTTTATTATAAACCAGTAATTGTTTGAGGTAAAATCTTTCATTTGATAAAATAAAATTATTTGCTTTGGAGCTCAGTCACAGAACGTTGTTTTTGTGACCACATGCTAACGTTCACATGTGTTCAATGTACTGCACTTGACAAAGAAAAATCACATTCAGTGTGTAGAGTTACTTACGTGTGTAGAGCTCTGACTTTCTCTGTATATTTGGCTGCTCCATGTTGTTTGATGAGGAATCTATAAATTAAACTCATTATTATAAAACTGTACTGAAACAAATGTATTACTGTTGTTAATTTTTCCGTTATTGTGAAAATAAAATACTGTTTTGTAAGATAATAACAGACGTGTATTTTTGCTTAAGCAATATCTGTTTTAAAAAAAAGTTCTAAATGTTTTAGTGCATTAGCTCAAAAATAATACCAAACACTTAAATTATTGTCTACAAGTCTAAGGTGTCTGAGCAACTAATGCCTAGACTACCAACGTTTAATGCATTGTTTGTGTGAAGCACACACACACGCACACACACACACGCAAGAGGGGCATACCTACTGTAACAAAGTTATATGAAATATCAAGAAATCCACCACTCCTGTTGTTATGTAACACCTTAATAACCCCCACTACCCTTTTAAAAATAATTTTTAATAACCAAAATAGTGTTGTTTTTTTGTGTTAAAAATCTTGAATTATATAAAAATATGTACGAGTTTGAAAAAAATTAGGAGCCTATCGTTGTCTTTTTATAATTATTAACAATGGCAAACATCGACATCAAATTAAATGATTTACCACAACCAAGTTACGTTTATCCCCAATTTACTATTTAAGAGACGGGCATTAAGTCAACATAATAATTAAAACGTTAAAAATACAGTGTTACATTTTTTAAAAACTTTATATCCTGTACCGGAGTAAAATCATAAAAAGATAAACAACCCATTATCATCTAGGTGGTGTATACACTAAGGCTGCTAATGTCACATAATTTCAAGTTTTATTACCTGCGTATATGTCGGTCCAGGTACTGAACTTTGACCTACTACATCTGAATATTCACTTTTCACGTGCAGGTCTACCTGTCGATTGATAGAAAGTGACCCAATTATTTTATGAAGCGTGATTAGTTCTTTATATTTTCCTGTAACACAACACTCTTCTACACACATATTTTCCTGTAACACAACACTTCTCTACACACATATTTTCCTGTAACACAACACTTCTCTACACACATATTTTCCTGTAACACAACACTTCTCTACACACATATTTTCCTGTAACACAACACTTCTCTACACACATATTTTCCTGTAACACAACACTTCTCTACACACATATTTTCCTGTAACACAACACTTCTCTACACACACATTTTCCTGAAACACAACACTTCTCTACACACATATTTTCCTGTAACACAACACTTCTCTACACACATATTTTCCTGTAACACAACACTTCTCTACACACATATTTTCCTGTAACACAACACTTCTCTACACACAAATTTTCCTGTAACACAACACTTCTCTACACACATATTTTCCTGTAAGACAACACTTCTCTACACACATATTTTCCTGTAACACAACACTTCTCTACACACATATTTTCCTGTAACACAACACTTCTCTAGACACATATTTTCCTGTAACACAACACTTTTCTACACACATATTTCAAAAGCGATTATGCGATTGATTGACAAACCACTTAAAAACTTGGGTCAAGGTTAATCATAGTAAAATTAATTATATATATTTATTCTATTAAATGCATCAAGGGGTTTAGAATGTTACAATACATATAAAAATCTTTGTTTTAATCCCAATCATGAAAAAGGTAAAAAATGTAAGCATAAACAGATATCTAGAAGTAAATATCACTCTCACTCCCTCCCTCCCTATATATATATATATATATATATATATATATATATATATATATATATATATATATATATATATATTTACTAGCGTACCAGACCCCCGCGCGTTGCCGCGGGGATAGAAGAAAGTTTGACGAAATATATTAGAAGGATTTCACCAACGCGTTACCAATCATATGTTCTTAGACGCGTGACTTTCTTTTCTAAAAATGAGTTATTTAAATGTAAACAATGCCTGTGCTTGGATCATAAATATCAGGACACGGGTTTACCTACATTACCGCATGAAAACCTTGAGTGTACATTAATCACTCACCGAAATTATATGGTAGAACACACTTCAGTGACCGCCCCTGTGTCAGAGACGTAGAGGGGCGCTCTCAGGGCCCCAACCCCCCGATTACCCTACCGCATAGGCGCGGCGTACGACCCCTGGCTCCTTAAAACTAAAAGGCGCCATCGGCCAAATAGCATCCAGTTATTAATGATGCAGATTTCGTCATTCGCTAAAGTGACACAAATGAACAGGTTTTTTTTCTTCAACACGTAAAAAATTAGTTGACGTGTTTTAAATATCAGTGTGACTGATGCAATATGCTAGCGTTACTAATGGTCTATTATTAGATGCTCGATCTCAATTTCTGACTGGACTGTATAATAATAGATGCTTATTGCATCATTCGCAAAATGACGAAACTCTACAGTTGGCTCCTCATATTCAAAAAGTTATTTTTTCATCTTTCGCAAGGTGACAAAACTGTACAGAAGGATTTCCTCGCGTTACAAAGTTATTTTTAGAAGCCTGTTGTAGTTTTACAGCTGAATATAGTAGTACCCCTTAATCGCTATGCAGGACGCTCGATTAACGGATGCCAAGTGCCTACATAGTCGCTCTAAAACTCTGGACGAAAGTTGTACCCTATATGGCGCCGCCCATAAGAAACTTTAGTTTTCTTTTTCGCAGAAATATTCTCGGGAGTATTCTCATCTACTCCCTAAAGTTTCATGGCACTAGGATGAACCGCATCCGAGTTTTATTTTTTATATACCGTGTATAGATAAACAATATTTTTTTGCAGAACCCTACCATTGAGTAATCTAATCATCTCCCCAAAGTTTCATGGCACACGGATGAACGATGTGAAACCGAAATTTTATAAACCGTATATAGATAAAACACGCAGCCTCCCGTGGCGTCGCCCTTGCGAAATTAAAAAAAGGATTTTTTTTACAGAACCCTTCCCTGAATTGTTCTTATCAACTCCCCAAAGTCTTATGGATAACGGTGTCACACAAAATCGACTTTTATTTGTATATACCGTATATAGAGGAAAATCGCACCCTCCCGTGGCGCCGCCCTTGCGAAATTAAAAATTATTTTTTTATAGAACCCTTCCCTAGAGTGGTATAATGAACTCCCCAAAGTCTTATGGCTATCAGATGCCAAACCCAAATCGACTTTTATTTTTATATACCGTATATAGAAAAAAAAAACAAATCGCGCCCTGTGGGGCGCCACCCCTGCGAATTTGAATTTTTTTTTTCGCAGAAACCTCCCCAGGAATATTCTCAACAACTTCCCAAAGTTTTACGGCGATGTGATGAGAGGTGTAGTAATGCATAAAGGACAGACAGACACACACACAAGCATACATTGTTTTATATATATATATATATATATATATATATATATATATATATATATATATATATATATATATATATATATATATATATATAAACATATGCATATAGATATACATACAATAAGACGTGTCGACATACCTTTTTCCCATGACAACAACCGCGACGGCAGCAAGATTCACATTTCAACTCCTGACAGTAATGACCGCACTACGGCGAAATAATATTTTTTTTTTTATAAAAGTAAAATTTATAGTACGATATCTAATCCAATTATAGATGGTGTTTAAAGATTTTAATAACATTTTATTTTAAACAAACAAAAATGTAGTGTTTTAGATAATATGGCTTGCATGGGATTAATACATTTACTTAAAATATCATGTACACAAGTAATACAGTTTCTAGACTAAAATTTGACCTTTTCTTACCTTCTGAAATAAGGAGCAGAGACAACAGACGTAGCAGCATTGTCTCCAATCAATCTCACAGCAACATTCGCACAACTGATAAATTAGATTGAATTGGTAATTAGGCTTATTGAGTAATTACAATAATCTCTTACATGTTATTTACGCATGATAGTAAGAAATAAAAGAGAGAAAGTCAACGTTGTTCACATGTTTCTCTTATTTATAAGAAGCTGACATAAGTATATATGATATATATAAATGATATATTTATATATATTTATATAAATTATATATATATATATATATATATATATATATATATATATATATATATATATATATATAATTACATATATTGTTTGAATGTAATGGTAAAAGAAGTAAAAACTAAAAATTCTAAAGAAAACGTACGTGTTCACAGCATTGGCACAAACATTTACCTAATCCAATTTTACATAGCCAAATCTGAAATGTATCAACAGCAGAATTTTGCTCAGCCCCTGAGGCGATTAGGCTATAAGAAATATTTTTGTCATAATTATTATAAAAATAAATAAATAAATAAATAAATAAATAAATATATATATATATATATATATATATATATATATATATATATATATATATATATATATATATATATATATATATATTTATATAATATATATTTATTTAAAATTACCTTCTTCAGTATATACTGATTATATTCACTAAAAATTATCCACTTTCTAATGGTTGCAGTATATATATATATATATTTAAGCCTTTAAAAAGAATTAAATAAATGTGTAGATTGCAATATCCTTACCAGAAACATAAGTGCATACAAACTACCGAGTCCTATACCAATATAGATACACACATTCTTGAAGCCTTCAAAAAAGTCGTCGATTTCTGACATTCTTATCCTAGATTGAACTATAAAAATCCAACATTTAACTTCATTCATTAAACTTATTAAACAATAAGCATTACAAATAGTTTCTGGTTTTTTAAAAAGTTTATAAATAAATCTTTATCTATGAAAATTATTTGAGACTATACTTTACTTACCAATGTAGAATACCAAATGATTAAACACAAACACATCCGTAAAAAAAACAAAAAAAAAAGCCTTGCCCCACACAAAAAATATTGATGAAGTGCGTTATAAACCCGTCAGTGAGATAACTGTGAATTGTTCCTAGGACGTTCGCTGTGTTTCTATCCCGTACACGCCGTGTTGTGTCTGACCCAGTTGCCTAGACACTTTCGGTTTGTTGTTGTTTCCAAGAAGTGATTCTGGTTTCTGTACATGTTTTTGTGCATGTTTCTATACATGTTTCTATAATGTTATTATACATGTTACTATACATGTTTCTATACATGTTTCTATACATGTTTCTATACATGTTTCTATACATGTTTCTATAAATGTTTCCATAAATGTTTCTATACATGTTTCTACACAAGTTTCTATACATGTTTCTATACATGTTTCCATACATGTTTCTATACATGTTTCTATACATGTTTCCATACATGTTTCTATACATGTTTCTATACATGTTTCTATACATGTTTCTACACATGTTTCTTTCCATGTTTCTATACATGTTTTTGTACATGTTTCTATACATGTTTCTATAAATGTTTCTATAAATGTTTCTATACATGTTTCTTTATATGTTTCTATACATGTTTATAGACATGTTTCTAGACATATTTCTAGACATATTTCTGTACATGTTTCTATACACGCGTGTCAAGTGTAAAAAAACAACACAGTTAGCCTTACTACCAGTAGCGTACGCAGGGGGGGAGGGGGAGCAGGGGGAGCGGCCGCTCCCCCTCTGGCCATTTTCAGCAAAGTGGCGCCTTTTTGGAAACTTTTTAAACTCAAAGTTTTAAACAATGATATTTAAAAAAAAAAAATTTTTGGTCGGCACATTCATGTAAATCACAAGATTTCTTTTCATGCAGCAATTAAGCATTATTGTACTAGTCTAGTAGTGTCTTACAGTTTGGGCGATAGTGATTACGATTACAAATTATATGAAACAGTTACAACCCCCCTCCCCCATGGACCCCTCTGTAAAAAAATATTGTCATAATACCACTGCTACTTATTTAAATCTATTTCTGTAATATATATTTGTGTAATATATATTTGTGTAATATATATGTATGTTTAGAACAGTCATCTAAAAACTGACGCTATGTTCACTCTGAGTTGGTTATCAGTAATAACTTATCACCCCACCTCCCACACACACATCACCACCACAATTGTGTAGAGCGACATTAATGTCACATCTAGGAATACACTGGGTTGGATAATTGACCTAAAGTGAACGGACAGTGGTGAATGAAGTTGAACCCACCACCCCACCCCCCCCCCCCCCCCCGAACTGATCTGTTAAGTACATGTAGAAAAATGCGTAATGATGTACCAAAGTACCATGCCGCCAGAAAATTAGCTTTTTAAACGTAAAACTCTGTGAATATTGTTTTTGCAATTACCAGTAAAAAGGTGTGTGATCAATATAGTGATCTAACCCTTACCTGTCACTATGTTAAAAAAATGATCTTTAAAGAACACAAAGAAGCAGTAGTTAATTAAAATGTATGATCTGAACTAAAGACCGATACTTAGTTAAATGTAGGCTGATTTTCCGAATGTTTTTCTAAAACGTCGAAAAGCGTGTTTTTATTCCAACTCAGATTTTAAAAACTTTAATTATGCTATAATACTTTAGCATTTATGATGACGATATATTAAATTCTGATTATAGACAAAAACATTTTGTAAACACGAATAGTGTTAAACAATTTCATTATATTCTAAAGTAATTATTTATTTGTTTTGACATTTATAATTAAATGTGTAGATATATAGCCTACTTATTTATATTAAGATAGTGATTATTTCCCCTATTTCACTTGGCTGAAATAATTTCCCAGGAATTATTATGTAAGAATTTTTTTTATAAGAATTACAAAACAGAATTTGTTACGTTCATTGTTTTTGGTTGTAGTATATATATATATATATATATATATATATATATATATGTATATATATATATATATATATATATATATATATATATATATATATATATATATATATATATATATATATATATATATATATATATATATATATATATATATATATGTTTAGATTGATACAATTTTTGTTTTGTCGGCCTACATTGTGTGTTTTTTCTTATTTCTTCAGAGTGCTACTTTCAATTTATTTTACATCATAGCGAAGTAATGGGATACAGCTAGAATTATATATATATATATATATATATATATATATATATATATATTTATATATATATATATATATATATATATATATATATATATATATATATATATAATACACGTAATAGAACGTGTTAAAAATTCGGCGCCTTTTTTTTGCTCTTTTCGCTCCCCCTACAACGGAAACCTGGATACGCCTCTGCTTACTACGTAACTAATGTCAGCATTAAGCTTGATTAGATAAGACCCTCCATACTCTCTTTTTAAAACAAATTAAACTGTACATGTATTCAGCAATGAAGTTTTAAATATCATAGCTCAGTTCTGAACAACTTCTATAATTCTTTTTTCAGAGAAACATAATTTCTTAGTAGATTTCAAGATAATATAATATAATTTTCAATTTAATTATAACTTAATTTAAAAATTAATGTATCAATTGTCGACTGGGGAAGTAACACGATTAACTAAATCGGGTTTAAAGCAAATATGTTTTAATCGGAGGTTGTCAGCTTAATTAATTAAAATTAACAGAACTTAATAATAATTATAGTAGCCTTTTTTGTACATTTGTTTTGACTTCAATAATCACTACGAATAGACATTTTTGTTTTTTGACGAAGGGAAATATTTATAGATTATTAAAGTCACTGAAATAAAAGTTAAATATAGTGATCAATTAATCTTGCAATTTACGAAACCCATCTTTTCCACCTAATTTGGTTAAAATTATTTCTTTTATTTAAGTACAAAATTACGACATGCTTGAAGTGGTGTATTCATGGATTACTTCGGACCAGAAAAATCAACATCAACGAACAGTTACATCTACATAAAACTACCCCACATCAGTAACATCAACATGAACCAACAGTTACATCAACATGACACTACCACACATCAGTAACATCAACATCAACTAACAGTTACATCAACATGAAACTAACCCACATCAGTAACATCATCATGAAACTACCACACATCAGTAACATCAACATGAACCAACAGTTACATCAACATGACACTACCACACATCAGTAACATCAACATGAACCAACAGTTACATCAACATGACACTACCACACATCAGTAACATCAACATGAACCAACAGTTACATCTACATGAAACTAACCCACATCAGTAGCATCATCATGAAACTACCACACATCAGTAACATCAACATGAACAAACAGTTACATCAACATGAAACTACTCCACAGCAATAACATCAACATCAACGAACAGTTACATCAACATGAAACTACTCCACAGCAATAACATCAACATCAACGAACAGTTACATCAACATGAAACTACTCCACATCAGTAATATCAACATGAACCAACAGTTACATCAACATGAAACTACTACACATCAATAACATCAACATCAACGAACAGTTACATCAACATCAAACTACCACACATCAGTTACATCAACATGAAACTACCCCACATCAGTAATATCAACATCAAGTAACAGTTACATCATGAAACTACCACACATCAGTAACATCAACATGAACCAACATGTGAGAAGTAACATCAACATCATCCAGTGTTAAAATAAAACTGTGCCTGTTTAGCGTAGCAAAACAACTATCTCGGCAATAAAAGATGCAATTATGTTTATAACGTTGATGTACATGATTGTGAAGGCTAAAGGATTTTATATAAATTCTTACATCTATATGTAACATAAATAACTTAAAAATAAACAATATAATAGTCTATCGTAAGTTATTTTTTACTAAATGACGAAAAAACACTCACTTTAACTCAAATTAGTAAATACAGTTCAATCTTACCTTATATTAATATTATAAAGTATTATATTTAAGAACTTCCCCTAAATACAGTGTAGACTGCAAATCCAATTCGACACATATATTTTGAAATGTATGCACTGCGTCTTGCTTCACTATTATAGTTCAAATGAAACATTACCTTTCTTTACAACTTAGTTTTTGAAGTATAGTAAAATCCAAACGCAAGAAATCAAACGTACAAAGAATCCTTTTAAAAGCATTTCAAGGTATGATTATTTTATCTCACTAGAAAAAATATCAAATAATCAAAACTTTAGTTTGATACAAGCTTGTGGGTCAATAATACAATTGCAGCCACTTCAAGAAGATAACAATTGAGATAAGATTGCAATACTACGATTAGTTAGTGATATAACAAATGATATAGTGTAATATTAATATCTAACTGTAAAAGTTACGTTGTGAAGACTCTCATTGATAACATGTGTTTGTCAAAGTCGTCACAACCCATAAAGCAATCCAAGTATCTAGTGTTTACGTTGTGCATCTTTACACTACTTGACATAATTATGTCATCTACATATGGTGCTGGCAGTTTTGGTGATTAGAAATTAGGCAAGCTGCCGGCTCAGTTACTACACTGAAAAATGCCACTAAATAACTGTTTATATATTGTGGTGATGTAATGTGTATGAAAGGTGAATACTACTGCCGAACCAACAGACCTCCTGTAAGTGTCACTTTGACTTTGTTAATTAAATAAATTATCTAACAGAATCATGGAGGAACCAGTAAGTTTGGCAGATATGTATAGCCTGGGCTGAAGCAACGGATAAGAGGGAGAGAAGTTGGACGAGTGGGTGGAGAAAAGATTGAATGAGAATGAAGAAAGGAGGGACAGATGGTGCATAAGGGAAAGAGAAAAGATGGAGACAGAAGCAAGGATAGAGAACGAAAAAATGAAGATAGAACAAGAAAAAATGAAGATAGAACAAGAAGAGATGGAGAAAGAAGCAAGGATAGAGAACGAAAAAATGAAGATAGAACAAGAAAGGATGGAGACAGAAGCAAGGATAGAGAACGAAAAAATGAAGATAGAACAAGAAAAGATGGAGACAGAAGTAAGGATAGAAGTAGAAAAAATGAAGGCGGAATCAGCAACCAAACTAGAAAGAATGAAGAATGAAGTTATGAAAGACATACCACACATAGACATGAGCCATCAAAACATTCTATCAAAGTTGCCGAAATTCCAGGAAGATTCGGAAAACATAGATGCGTATATCAGGAGATTCGAGACAGTGGCGAGGACGACAAGCTTGAGCGACAAGCAGTGGGGAACTCAACTCATTGTCTTAATAGGAGGGAAGGCATTGGATGCATGTCAGGGCCTGAGTGAGGATTAAATGAAGGACTACAGAATATTAAAGGAAACCCTCCTTGAGTTCTTCTTACATAATGAAGACTCGTATAGACAAAAATCCACAACAGACTACCATCCAAAGCTGAGGACTTCAAAAACTTCGTGTTGGATCTAAAAACCACGTTTATGAAGTGGCTAGAAACGGCTAGAGTGGAGCTGAACGTGGAGAGTATAATTGAATTCATCTTGATTGATAAAATATCAAATTCAGTAGATAAGCAGGTACTAAGTTACATACAGGAAAGGAAGCCCACCACTCTAAAAGAACTTACTGACCACTGCCAAAAGTACATCATTGCACACTCGGATAGACCATTATCTAATAATGAATCAGAATATGAATCAATCCTCTATGCGAAGGCGCCAGGCGGTACAGCGGAGTACAGTCTAGAGGCAGGTAACTACATATACGGCAATCGACGGCCAATGAGATACGGAACACAAACCAACGGCACAAGATACGTTGGGAGGTGTTTCAACTGCCAACAACAGGGTCACATGATTAGGAACTGTCCGCACAGACATTCAAATGTTGGGGCAACAACCAGGTTGCTGGTCAAGAATACACCAGACACACTCAAACACTCCTGCGACACGCGGGTATTACAGCCAACAACGTAGACCGAGGCAGGATGGAAATCGTAATAATGATTACATCGACCACAGCAGTGGCCCAGACACCGGGGACATGACAAGAAGCTATATACAAGGACATGACCAGAGAAGAGAACAAATGCATTTAATAAACGTTGAACCCAAAATGCCATCATTTAAGTCAAAGGTAGGGGAGCACATAGTGGAGGCGATTAGGGACACAGGCTGCTCGACGATAGCGGTAAGAAGTGATTACGTAGAACAGAACCAATATACCGGTGAAAACAGATTGGTAGAAGTATTTGGCGGCATGGTCATCAGTCACCCAGTAGCGCTGATAAACATTAAATCACCATATCTGTCAGGGCAAGTCAGGGCCTTAGTGTTCGAAAGGGGCACATATGACCTGATTATTGGTAACGTTGCCGGCGAAGAAACCATGCCACAAAAGTAGGTAGAACATTGGGTTAACAGAGAACTAATACAAGTGGCAGAAACAAGGGCACAATCAAAGAAAAGGGAAAATGTTGAACAAGCAGAACTTGGTACGGGTAAATTATTTAATTTGTTTATTTTGTTTGGTTTAATTCATTTTTGTTTTGTTTGTATGTTGTTGTTTAAAATAATCGATTAACGCTAACGTGTACAAAAATAGAAAGTTCTTTGTGTAGGTCCCAACAACCATTAACGTCATCTGTTTCAAATTATCTCACACATCAAAGATTTTACGACCACCAGCGAAGTTTTCCTTTTGACAGGTGCGGTTTACTGAGAGCATTGGAAACGCAAACAGCATCGCCAGTATGCGCCGCTGACGTGTTTTATAACCATAGACATAGACATTGACCTAGACATAGACCTAGGCCTAGACCTAGACCTAGACCTAGACCTAGACCTGGACCTGGACCTGGACCTGGACCTGGACCTGGACCTGGACCTGGACCTGGACCTGGACCTGGACCTGGACCTGGACCTGGACCTGGACCCGGACCCGGACCCGGACCCGGATCCAGACCCGGACCCGGACCCGGACCCCGGACCCGGAACCCTAGACCTAGACCTAGACCTAGACCTAGACCTAGACCTAGACCTAGACCTAGACCTAGACCTAGACCTAGACCTAGACCTAGACCTAGACCTAGACCTAGACCTAGACCTAGACCTAGACCTAGACCCTAGACCTAGACCTAGACCTAGACCTAGACCTAGACCTAGACCTAGACCTAGACCTAGACCTAGACCTAGACCTAGACCTAGACCTAGACCTAGACCTAGACCTAGACCTAGACCTAGACCTAGACCTAGACCTAGACCTAGACCTAGACCTAGACCTAGACCTAGACCTAGACCTAGACCTAGAGACCTAGACCTAGACCTAGACCTAGACCTAGACCTAGACCTAGACCTAGACCTAGACCTAGACCTAGACCTAGACCTAGACCTAGACCTAGACCTAGACCTAGACCTAGACCTAGACCTAGACCTAGACCTAGACCTAGACCTAGACCTAGACCTAGACCTAGACCTAGACCTAGACCTAGACCTAGACCTAGACCTAGACCTAGACCTAGACCTAGACCTAGACCTAGACCTAGAGACCTAGACCTAGACCTAGACAGACCTAGACCTAGACCTAGACCTAGACCTAGACCTAGACCTAGACCTAGACCTAGACCTAGACCTAGACCCTAGACCTAGACCTAGACCTAGACCTAGACCTAGACCTAGACCTAGACCTAGACCTAGACCTAGACCTAGACCTAGACCTAGACCTAGACTAGACCTAGACCTAGACCTAGAACCTAGACCTAGACCTAGACCTAGACCTACACCTACACCTACACCTACACCTACACTACACCTACACCTACACCTACACCTACACCTACACCTACACCTACACCTACACCTACACCGACACCGACACCGACACCGACACCGACACCGACACCCGACACCGACACATACACATACACATACACATACACATACACATACACATACACATACACATACACATACACATACACATACACATACACATACACATACACATACACATACCACATACACATACACATACACATACACATACACATACACATACACATACACATACACATACACATACACATACACATACACATACACATACACATACACATACACATACACATACACATACACATACACATACACATACACATACACATACAACATACACATACACATACACATACACATACACATACACATACACATACACATACACATACACATACACATACACATACACATACACCATACACATACACATACACATACACATACACATACACATACACATACACATACACATACACATACACATACACATACACATACACATACACATACACATACACATACAATACACATACACATACACATACACAATACACATACACATACACATACACATACACATACACATACA